AAATAACTGTTTATATTGCTAATGGTTACAAGCACCTTTTAATTAAAAATGGAAGTAAAAGCCCTAACAGGCATGAAGTCTGTTCCCAGTGGCACACTAACAGGAGCCCATTAATTCTCGTAGCCCATAGGAAATGGAGAGGCTTCAGATCCTGTTCTGAGGCACAACTCTGCTCATCATTGTACAGTTCAGGGTGAGGCAGAACAGAGGAAAAGAAAGGAAGGTAGTCAGCAGCAGTATTTGGCAGAGAGAGGTCACACCATATAGTTTTCTGGGTGGATTATAGCTTGTTCTGAGCTGCACCTGGGGTGGGGCTGGGGTCAGAGAACTGCTGAACTGTAATCAGTCTGTGCCTCTGAAAGAACAGACTTGTATCTTTGGGCTACACACCTTGCTATGGCAGCTACACAGCTTTGGGTCAGGGCATATCCATCTCATGGCAAAACTGCACAGATGCCCACAGTGCAACATAAGTGAGACCAGATCCTCATTTCCTGTCATCTTTTCCTCCCACTTTTTGCATAATTTTTACAGAACAAAGAAGTTCTATAACCAAAAGATACATGCTCTTCCTTTAGAGCACTTTAAGAGCAAAAAGTGCCTGCTGTGAAATAGAGATGCTGTCCCATTGAGGAATCTCCAGTGTAGAATCCATCTCGTATATCTTCAGGTTCATGGATTCACTTTTTGGTCAGTGGCAAGAAACAGGCAGTTCAAGGGCACTGTTCACCTCTCCTGTTTTTATGCCTACTTCAGGATAAGCTAAATCACTCCTTAATAGTGTCCACTTCTTGAAAGAAGCTGTGAAGGTATGCTAGACAGCTGATACAGCCACCCATATGCATTCCTAACACTGATTGAAAATACTTCTACTGTTTTTCATGTGCAGTTGCAGTATCAGCCTTGGACTCAGCCATAACTGTCTAAACCCTGTGAGGCATGGGAGTTTCAAAAAAGTTTATGTGCTTATAGTATTATAAATCACAAATCAGCTACACAAAATCATGAAAATGGATTAAGATGCATGATTAAAATGCAATAGTGCTGTCTTCTTTCTTCTACTTTTTATTCAGCCTTTGGAGTTTTGAGGTATATTGTTGTCATGTTTTCCACTCAAGTCAAGGCTTAAATCAAAGGATAGTTTAAAATGAGGGCAGGGAGTCTTGTAATTGTTTGACTGTGGGATTAGAGTGTAAACTCAATTGTCATGGTAGTACCACATATCAAAAATAAGATCAGTTAGGAAACTGTAGTATTTTGCTAAGAATCAGACATAAGAGTATTCTTCAGTTTTACAATTGAATTATTACTGGCTTTTACAATATTGCAATAAGATGTAATTGCTAAGCTTTAGTAAACTAAATACAAGCTGAGTCAGACCTTGTGTTGCAAGTACGTCAAGGGCAAGAACAGATACTAGAATTTTGCACTGTTTTGAGGGTGTTTGTTCTACTGTTTGCACTGCAAACACGCTTTTGTTAGGCAACACACTCCATTTAGATGACTACTGAAATGCTGACAGGGCTAATGGCACTCAAAATTTGCTTCACCTGGCATTATGGGTAAACAACTTACTGTGAAGGCATAAAAACGTGCTTATAATTTACACGTCTGTTTAGACAAGAGCTTAATTAGGAAATGCAGAAACATGTATTGAGTAGAGACCTCAGAGCAACAAGAGAGTTTGCAAGAGGTAGAATATCCCTTTGGCTGAAAGACAAATGCAGTGACAGCCTGAGATCCATCTCTGCACACCTTATATAAGCTGAATCTACTGATTCAGCAGATCCTGAGATCTACGATCCCTTTGTAGCTTCAATCTCCACTCTGATTATGGTTCTTACCCATCTTCTCTGTTGTGCATTTATCACTGAAATGGGCAAAATCTCTGTTGTGCATTTATCACTGAAATGGGCAAAATCTCTTTTATTCTCCACTATTCAGACTCCACTGTTCAAAGACTTCACTGCTATCAGGACAAATCAATTTTTCAAGTCTGAACCTGAATGTATGACTAGTTGTGCAGTGAATCATCTGATATGGGCCTTTGGTCACAGCCTGAGCTTGTAGAGGCACCTCACAAGTGAAAAGGGAAGTTGTAAAACAAGACAAACAAGATTCAGAGTGAGGAAGGCTCAGAGGTGAAGAAAGATAAAAACATTGTAAAATCAACTATAGCTGTTTGGGATATTTCAAAGGGGAGATGCTTTACTCCAGGTTCA